GCGAAACTCCTCGCAGCTCCAGAGGTGCGTCACAGAGCTCTCCGTCCAAGCGAATCCTCAGCGGACAGCCCCTCACCCGCCCGACATCGGACGGACCCCCGTCCGGACCGGCGGATGGGCGGTAGGTGTGTCAGCCGGAAGTCTCCAGGTGTTTCACATGTGCCGGATGCTCCTGAAAGGCCGGAGGGTCTGTCAGCTGGCGCGTCCAACCGCCCGCTTCACGTCGAACCGCTCAAGTACGGGATCCTCAGAGTTCAATCGCCACATCCTCGTGACGTGCCAAGTGCCAGCCTCCAGAAGAACAGATCTGTTCGAACACTCTCTCGCGTCTCTCTCGCGTCTCTCTCTCTCTCTCTCTCTGTGTCAGGGATGACTTGAACACTGTTTTTCTTCGCACTGCTGGACCCAAGGATCACACTCCAAGATCTCTTGCTTGTCGCTGCGCGCCACTCCAAAAAAAATAGAAAGCGCCATCGTGTCGACATGTGTCGACATCCACTCCCCATCGTCGACGGGCTCCTTTCCTCTCGCCAAGGGTCCAAAGCAACCCTTGCCGATCGCCAAAAACACCTGGGCGATCGCTGCCCAGAGTCCAGAGAATGCTCAGTTTTTGGAGCCCCCAGAGTGTCCCGAAAGAAACCGATGCAGATCCTCGAGTCCTACCGCGGGGCGAGCCGGATGTATGATCCGTACCATATCGATCTTCCAACGATGCACCATTTCTGCCCTTGGGTTGGCTTTTTATCAATGAAAAGGCATACAAAAGGTTGCATAGGAAGATCCCGGTGTGTCTAGACGCGGTGCAACAGCGCGAAGAGGATGAAAACGGCTCGGGAAGGGGCGCCTCCTGCATGCTACCGGAACGGCCCTTGGAACGGCGTGCATGCTGGTTTGGGGTGCGGGCTCGAGCTCCACCTCCCGGTAGCAATCGCAAAGCGATGCATTTGTTGGGTCTACCGGTCTACCCTATTACCAGCGCCCAGTGGATGGTGATGGTATGGCCTTGTTCAAAAATAGTTATCGTTTACTGACTGTTATACAGGTCAGTTCGGACAGACCCGATTTCCTTTCGGTCTGGGAGTCTCGGAGCAATTGCCGGGACACTCGCCGGACACAAGAAGTACAAATCCTTTCATGCACAAAACCCGATCATCCCAAAGAAGGTTCCAGGGTCTGATGACCACAAGCTGGGGCACCAGTCAGTCCGTTCAACATCTCCTTTGATGAAACCAAAACTGAAACATGCCTTCAGTGAGCAAAAACACTTGTCAAACGTTTGGACAGGATTCCGCCACTTGCCACGTCTTAAGAAAACAGATCTTGAGTCTTGAGAGTACTCCAGGGTGAAGATGAATGGCACCCAGCTCCAATGCATCGGATTCTTCTGGGGCCTTCGGGACCTGCCAGTTGCAACCATCTAGTTTTCACCTGCCAACAGAAGCTCTGCACCCATCCCTTTGCAATTTAGAAGCTTTGCGCCCGCGCGTCGACCAGCACAGGCGGGACATGAGGCGGCTGGAAGCCCCACGGTGAAGAAAGGAGAGGTGGACTGCTCAACTCAAATTTCTTCCAATCAGATCGTGGAAGGCGACCTTGCGAGCGAGCTCTTAGCGTCTGACGGGAATCCATCCGTGGCACACCACTTCAAATGGCTTCACCCTAGAAGCCCTAGCAATTTGCAGCTTGCAATGGTTCGGCATGATTCGATGGATGTTTTCTTGGTCCTAGCTTGCTGTTGTCTCCGCATAGTCTTTGATTCGTCTTCTTGAGGCTCACTTCGCTTGGGCAGCCTCGGTTGGGTTGGCTGCCTGGGGTTCTCGTTGGGGTCGCCGAATACGGGCCGACCGCTGAAGCCAAATCCGGAGCGCGCGCGGCCCGTGTCGCGTTCGGAACCGCAGCGCCGAGCATTCGGAACCGCCACCAACACCGCCATCAGCAGTGGACAGAGGACGGATACACCGGAAGGACCGGAGAGAGGAAAGCCAATTCTTGCGGTGTTTCTGGTCACGAAGCTTCCTTGAGCTGGTGTTCTGGTGTGGGGACCCTCCAGTTGCGTTGGCTTAAGGAACAAAAAACATCCAAAAGATTCCTCCAGAAGAAGGAGATTTACTCACAGGAAAAGAACCTTAAGCAAAACCAGGGAGGTTCTGATAATCCTGAGTGCTTTATCTGTGCCCCCAAGCTTGGATGGGTTCAATGATTTTGCTCGGCCACCGGGACTCTAAGGGGGGTAGCCCAGTGACTTCCTTTTCCAGAAGGACAGGGACAGCAGTCGGGGTGTGTAAGTGCATGGAAATCAGTCACCCACACAGTTTCTGAGCCGCTGGTCATGGGAGCGGGGTGCGCTTCTGTCGTGGCACGGCGGTCAAGCAAAATCAACCTGCTAGTCAAGGAAACGCACCCAGAAAGACCCTGGCACCAAGAACACCTGGTACAGAACAGCTGGGAAGGCTCCCAACCTCCTCTCCCTGAACATCTCACACTCGCTGCTCACGGGTCGGTCCCCATTCACTCTCAAGTTTCACCGGGCTCGGCTCCAGCAGTAGCGCGGGAACTCGTGGGAAGTGCCGGCTGGGGGCAGATGGGGCGGAAGACAGGCAGGGCTGCCCCATCAGCCCAGACGGCAGCTTCACAGCTACAGTAGCAGAGGGCGGGTGCCCTCACCGCCCTCCAGACGCATGAGCATGAGCTTGCAGGAACAGTGTCAAAAGAGCGTGAAGGTCTAAAGTCTGAAAGGATTCTAAAGGACGTAGCTTTCAGGAACGAGGGGATGGATGAATTGCCAACATGTGCTGGGCCATGTCCTGCCCCACATCTCCTAAAGCTACAACCCTCAACGCTTGCACTATTTTAAAGTGGTTTGTTCTTCAGGCCGGCTTAGTCTCAGGGAGACATGCTGGCAAGCTGAATGTACAGTGACGGCTTCCCACAAATATTGCCCCCACATAACCCCTCCCTGTGCATCCTTGTTTGATGTGTGATGATAAATACCTCTCAGTCGTACATCAAGGACGCCCAACTGTAAGAAATCAAGTGCCACCATGAAGTTCCTAACTTGCTTCTGGACCTCTCCAGATGAAGAACATGTTTTACTTGATTTTGCCCGTCGGCTAAAACCTGCAAGCCATCTCTATGACTCAGGCTTCGAGCAGGGTCCCCCTTTCCTGGAACTGCCATGACTTTCTTGAAAATGCAGCAACATCATGTCCTCTCATTTCCTCGCTCTAGGGTTTCCATAGGATTCGAGGGGCACCCTTCTGTGCGGAAACTGCGCGGCCACACACGCAGCGGCCGCGTTAAACAGTTCAGCATGGACCCTGGCGATGGCTGGATGACTTCGAGTGGCGCTCACTTGGAGATACAAACAGGTGTAAACCTCTGATATATTCTGATACTAACAATATACTGCTACGCAAATTTCCACCATGGATCTTGATGAAAATTCCACCGGGAAAATGGACAAGGCATATATATATATATATACCCCTTCTATGTGTACAAGTCACAAAGGCCCAAGAATGTCGACAGTGGTCGGCCTGGGTACCTCTTCCATGTACTTCTTGATTCTACCTGGGCACCTGGGCATCCACCGACCGGTGCGCCCTCAACTTTAGATCTCCCAGAGGTTCCCACCCCCCAAGGGTTGATACCGCACAGATACAATGTATCTCCTACCACGCCTGTCTCAAACCCCGATCCCATTGTACCTGGGTCCGTCCTACCAACTGATGCGGGAGGTCCCTTCCCACAACAGGAAGCATGAACATCTCGCGCAATCTTAGCCGTCCAAACCCCGCGCCGCGTGCACACTCGCACGCAGCGCACGCAGGCAGCGTGCTAGGGCCGCTAGGGCTTGGCACACAATTTCAAGCGCCAACTCAGCTCCCAATTCCTGAACACCTTAACTCCCTTAAGACGGGCCTATAGGTTCTATAGAGAGCGACCAAGCTCCAGCATCAGCCACTGCGAGTCCCGGAAAACGCCTCCAGGCACGGATTGAACGGGGCACTTCTGACCCCGATCGCCCTCCAGACCTTCTGATTCCGACTGGTCGCAGTTCTGTGCTGATGAGTTCGTTTGAACGGGTTGCCCATCTGGGTAAAAGTTGAATATGCACAAAAGAACTGTCTGAACATGTCTGAACCATTCTGAGACCCAAGCCATTCCCTGTTAAATTATTTTACTATATGTTTTATTCATACTCTTGTCCTTGTCTTGTATTCCTAATGAATACGCGAGTGCGCCAATGCTCCGTGGGAGTTGAACCACCGCCGCGTTTGAAAAACATCTCCCCTTTCTCTGATCACCTTTTGAATGGACCCGCCCCGATGCCACTTACTGCTTCCACTCCGAAAGGATCCGAAAGGTGATGCGTGACATGCCTGGGCTCTCCACAACCCTACCCCCGTGTTGAAGGCTTTAAACATGGTCGACAATGGCAAACATCATGAGATACACATACAAACCCTGTTGGGGTTCCATTTCCGGTTGGGTCACCCACTCATAAGCGAACCCATCTCAAAGAGAAAACACCTGCCAAAAAACAGAACATTCCCAAAAGGTACTATGTTCCACGATGTCCGATGACAAAAACAAAGCCCTGTCCACGTGACCACAGGTTGGTATATAAACGAATATAAATGACACAAAGTGAAACACGGTGAGATGCAGCGCACATGAGGGTGGAAAAAAAAAGTTACTAGCAACAAACCTTGGCTTTTCTGATGCACAAGCTTCTGTCACTGCATGAATCAACACAAAGCAGCAACCGAGCAGCAATTGTTTGGCTGCTGCCACATCCATCCATCACGTTCCACTCCACCAAGGGGTGGGTGCGTGGGTGGGGGACATTCAAAGGGCCACCAGCCCCCGTCTCTACCCAACCCAAACACCACTGCACATTCTAAGCGTATATGCTGTTAACCACCACCACCACCACCACCCCAAAAAATGAAATATAAACAGGCCCAGTGAGCCCAGTGTTGTTGCAGGAGGCTTTGGGTGTCCCACTCACCCCCATGTGTCACGTGCTCACGAAGTCAAAGCCTGGAGCTTTGTGCCCTCAACTCCTTCCTTTCGCTCCTCTCACTTCGCTCCAATCGTTGCACCAGCCTGGGTTCACCGGAGCCAGCTCCGGCATCTTCGGTCATTCGGCAAGGAACCCCGGGTGAACCTCCAAGGGTGAACCTCCACTAGCACACATACTGGCCTAGCACCGCCAAAGAATAACGATGGATGCTCGCGAACAGCCCAGGCACCACGGGTGGAGGCCCGGAGAACAGCCAGAACATGAGTATATCTCCAGATAGTCACACGAAGTTTATAAGTAGATATCGGCTTTTACATGTGTGAGCAGCCAAGGTGCCCGTTTCTTTGTGAATGATGATGTCGAGGAAGAATTCCACGTGACGTGTGTACTGTACCTACCTACCTGCCTACCTACCTACCTCCATCCATGCATGCATGCATGCATGCATGCATTGAATTGCATTGCATTGATTACATTACATTACATTACATTAATACATACACATGTACATGTACATATATATATATATACCTGGCCAAGAGTAGTGAGAAGCAGCTAAAAATGCTAAGAACATCTAAGAACATGCATTGCATAAGACACGTGCATACCTTGTGTATCCTTATGTGCCCTATGCATCCCTATGATAGCCCATCAAGTCTCCCCAAAGAAGCTTTCAGAGTTTGTGGAGAAACCTGCTGTGAAGTCCTATGGCCTTGTGCTGTGGATGCGACCGTAAGAGTGCAGCGGCGTGAACGTTTACAAAAAAATGTTTTGTCCCCCGGAAGGTTTGATGGTTTGATGGGGTTCCTGATGGTTCCTGTACAGGTGGGGCTATGTTCCCATTCCATGCGAGTCCGGTTGTCGCGTATGTTGCTTGTGCCCACAGGTCTTGATGCTGTCCAGAGCCATACCGTGAACCCCTGGCTGCGGGCACTCCAATTCAACCATTTGGGAAGGAGGTCGCCACCCATCCAAAACAGGCGAGCCAACGAGGCAAAGCAGAAAACTTTGATGTAGCTGTAGCCGCTACAGCCTTAGCCTAAGCCTACGCCCTTGGCTCGCATGATGCTCGCATGGCCCATAATTGCCGAAATCTCCTCTTTTCTTCTTTTGGTCGCCTTTTTCGAAAGAGAAAAGAGACCCGGACTTCCAAGCAGCTGTGAGTTCTCCTTCAGGTGTAAACGGTGCCGTTCTCCAGGACGTCCAGGGCAGTCGGGGTGCTCCTGTGGACCGAAAACGTCCGCTGGGGCCGGCGGCACCTGGACCCCCTGGGCGACCGTGGTTTCGAACGGTTCATCGACCACTGAAGAAGTCATGGGGATTTCAGTGGGAGCGTCCCCAATCTGCCAAGCTTGAAGCTCCGGTGAGGCTCCGGTGCAGGTGATCCCCCCACGTTCCGCAGAGGCCAAAAGACCTGGTGAAGCCACCTGGGCAGCCCTGGCAGAACGAGTTTGGTCATGTTTGGTCGAGTTCACGAGAACCGGCGTTGGCCCTCGACGTTTGGTCGCCCGCGTGCCTCGTCCCCCGGCAGCAGCAGGGCGTTGGGTAGCGGGGCTAGGGGCAAGGCTCGTGCAGACCAAAGGCAACTCTTCTTGGAAGCCCTGAGGCGAAGAAAGCAGCAAGAGTTCGGTCAAGCATGCGCCATCTAACATGAGTTGGTCCAGAGCTCGGTAGGACTCAGAGCTCTGAAAAACAAGCCCTCTCACCGGTGCCGGAATTCATTGGGAAAGCGACCGTGGAGGCGAAGCCCCGATCTTCCACCCCCCAGATGTTCCGCAGACTGAGGCTCTGGGAGGCTCCTCACCCACACCGGACCAGCCCGAGCGACCGCATGCGACCGCTGTTTTCAGCCCGAGCGACAGTTCCGGAAGCCCGTGGAACTGAGGCAGTTCGGAGCGGAGTTCGTGGAGCAAATACCTCGGAACGGGAGGCTGAGCAGGAGGCGGGCCGACGGGAGAACTTCGGTTGGCTCTGAAGAGGGCTGAAGAGGGCTGAAGGGTGATTGGGGTGTCGCTGGGCCACCGTTCGGGACGTTCGGGTGGCTTCGGAGTCGCCACTCCGCAGGGAGATCTGGGGCTTGTCGATATGTCCCAAGACCACCAAGGCACCGACTGAGTCATGGCGTCGAGCTCTTATACGAGTCACCCATAAATCCCATGGAAGTCCAAGTCTTGGATTGTTTTGGGTAAAATGTTTTGAGCTGCCTTCGTAGGGTGAAATGCCTCGTAAAACCAATGGTGGCTCGGGAAAAATACCATCAAATCATATCAAACTCTAAATTGATGTTTGTTAAGAAGCCTAGGGAATTGCGAGGCCCCCGAATTCGTCTCGAGGCCCACTCTGGGGTGGTTCGACCCAAGACTACCAAAGCTAGCTCGTATACAGCAGCTTTTCCGATCTATTCATCGGCCCAATGGCTGAAACGTCCAGAAACGGAGGAAAAACCCAAGCGCACATCCATCAGGTCTCCATGCGCCTGTGTCCGTTCTCCCCTGCCCTACCCATCTCAGCTCCGGACCACTCGGCCCAGGTGAGATCCAACTCCTCGGACCCAGCGGCTTGCTACGGCTCGGTGTCTCTTCAACGGGTGGAACGGGGGGGGGGGGTGGTAGGCAGGGCGGATGGTTCTGTGCCTCCCGGTTGGTTCAGAGGCTGTTGGCCTCTGTTCTTTGGGTGTTGCGAATGGTTTACCACCAAAAAAAGGGTGCGGAATCAGGCCTCCTGTACAGGGGCCTTGCAGGGTGCAAAGATTGGAACCCTTGATCTTGACCAGCACAAGAATTCACTTGAAGAATTTGAGGAGAAACAATTGCTCCGGCCACTGAATCTCCACCCTTGAGCTCCAGAGGATTTCGTGCTCAGCGGGTCCTTCTGGAGCCAACTCCTTTCCATCGCTGGTGCAGAATGCTGCTACCCAAGACCCACTGATTAATTGTCTAAAGATTGCTAGATGTTACGTACTAATTGTTAACATTTAAAACAGTTAGGATTATGACAGCACAGTGGCCAAACAAAGGCTGAAACTATCAACAAAAATTGAACTCAAAAAAAAAAACATCAAATCGGACTCAAATCAGACTGAAAAACCTCAACAAATACTCAAGGAGGAAGGTGTTTTCTTGTCTTTCAGGCTTGCATTCGTGAGTTCTATGCCATTCTACACCAAAACTGGGCATGCTTACTTGTTTCTTGAGTCTTCCTGCATTGCTCCTTGTGTTTCTCGCGGGTCTAATCAGTCTAATCTGAGTCTTTCATTTGAGTTGGGCCTTCTCCCTTCTGTGCCCTTCCCTCCTTCCCTCTCCCCCTCCCGCTCACCCCGCGCTGTCACACCGTCACGCCGTACGACGTCCCGTCGCCCGCTTTTCTTCGACGGCGCCGCGTCGGCTTCGGCCTGGCGCTCGTAGAGCTGCAGCAGCCGCGTGGGCGACGCCCAGAAGCCCTGCGCCCAGGTGGCCTCGGCAGCATCCGGCACTGGTGCCAGGAAGATATGCCTCGGGCCGCGCGTCACGGGCGGTCAGAAGGGAGGAAGCTGGGGAGGGGCGGGTGAGTCTGGGGGCGAAGAAATGAACAAAGACCTGCAAGGCTTAGCCGCTTAGCAGCTCACTATATAATCAATGTTGGAGTAGGATTTAATGTGTTATCCACAAAATAACATGACCAGATTCCTCTCGTTGTTTGGCTTTTGCTTTGAATGGTCGCCTGGCACGAAGAAAGATCAGCATCAGGGTCCGGAAAGGTGGGGCGACCGGTGTGCTTCGTCAGGAGCGAACGGTGACGAAGCCGCAAGGTGAACAGGTGAAGATCGTTGAAGGATGCTCCGCAGCTAAGTGGACAAGGCCAGGTAGTGCAATGACTTTCAGTTCTATCCCTCCTTGTTGGACATCCAAGGCATGCCTTGTACTGACTTCGACTGGCAAAAGCTGATCACCTTGGCACGAACAGCTTCACATAGTCTTTCGGTCACTTCAATGGGCAATCGGAGAGAACACCTAGGGCTCCGTTCAGGGCCATGTCAACTCTTGATTGATCAATCCCCTCTCCGGATTGTAAACAAACCTCGTCATTGTCATCTTGAAGTCTTTATACACTCAAGAGAGTCTACATTACTCTCTGGCCACAAGGTCCCCATCTGCCCATCTATTTCTCTCCCAGGTGTTCACTCCCCGGCAATGCCCCAGCTCACCAGATCTCACCCCCACGAAGCGGGACATCACCACGGCACTCCTCGTGCACAGAGCGTAGAAACCAACTGATCTCGATCAGCTCGGATGGCCTTGGCACAACATGGTAATTGCTTGGATCTCGAGTCCATCAGTTGATTGCTGTTTGCATCGTGTGGCCACTCCCACGGGGATTCTCTGCGTTGACTGCCATCCTTCGTTCGCCCTCTTAGACGTGCGGTACGTTCGCCTCACACCGCGTCCAGCCGTCGTCCGCCACCCCAACCGCAGCCCCTGACGACCACCGGGCGATGGAGCACGGGCTCACACATCGGGAGAGCCGCGCCTCAAGCGGATGCCCCAATCATCCAAGAAGGCATGGAACGCCTAGGAGGGACGTGCAGAATGGTGCCGTGCGCATGCGGGTGCGTGCGGGACGTCCACGGGGCCTTTGTTCGCTTATATAAGCCTCCACATCCCACGACACGTGAGGCATTTCAAGCAGTATAATCGTTGGGGGTTGCCCTTTGGTGAATGTAGTTTTATAATATGAGACCCGCTACCGCTCGGTGATTTCTCTCGGCTGCCAGGGTTCGTGAGAACAAACATCGATGTACACTACACGCACTATAATGATATATGTTTCAGGTATCTGGTTTTGAGAGACGTTGGCCCCCTTTGACTCGGTTTCAGCCGCGGTGCCCTTCATACCACGAGGCCCACATGAAACAGCTTTTGGGCCCCCAAAATGATCCAAAAGGCGTGGAATGCGTGGAATGCTTGAGTCCAATGCCCAAACATCGCGCCATGGCATGGACAGTCCGCAAGTCGCCCTAAGTCGTCATACCGCAGACATGATCACTCAAGCATTCCTTCATGCAACTAGCGGCCATCGGCCCCTCGCGCTGAAGGATCTTCTGCAGCTCTCGGCGGGCGAAGGAGGGCGGAGGATTGGCGGCCACCATGACGCCCACACTTTCCTCAGATCTTGGGAAGCGTCGATACCCTACCTGCGCCTTCCTACCTTCCGGCGAAGCCTTTGGCACCGGGATGGTTCTGTGCCACAATCTCAACTTGTGCATAGTAACAGTGGATGATGATGGTTAGCAAAGGCCGTTCTCAAAAATGGTAGTAATAATATGTAACATCTGCCAGGAGTCACAAAGGGGTGGTGTTTAGTCCCTAAGTGAGTGGATAATGGGCACCCTTAACCTCCATTAAGCACCCCTTTGTGACTGCTGGTGTATAATCCTTGATCAACCGTTGCGGGTCATGGGCTACCCGATATATATCTCAACTATCACTTGCCTCAGTTGCCTCCAAGCGTTTCCAAAACCGGTTCAAAGAGTTGCTTCCGGGTCTGCTGGTCTCTTTAAAATCATGTCCTTTGGTCTGCAATCATTTGAAGGTGCATTGTCAACATTTCACCATATTCTTACAATGAGTACGCCACCCCTTTGAATCCCTTAAATTTACACCTGCTGGTTTAAACACCCCCGGGGTTCAACGATCCATGTTTGAGTGTGGGGCGTTGAGGTTCTTGGAGCCAGGTGGTGATGCGATGGAGCCAGGCAAGCATTGTGCAGTGCTCAACTTGGCGCAGGTCGGCTTTTGGTCCAGTATATTTTTTGGGGAGGGGGATGCCCCCAAAACTCCAGAGGCCCCCCCCCCCAAGATCCACGGCCACATGGGGTGCCCCCTCTTGGGCCACATGGACCCACTCCACTCGTGGGCCCCAAGAGGCGAAGGCACAGCGCAGGGCGGCCACACGAAGGCCCAGGAAGACCTCGGGTGCGGTGCTTTCGAGGTCTGGGACTATCGCCTGGGCTCCCGTACCGAAGCTGATGAGGTGGATGCCAGGTCCAGTGAGACTCAGAAGGTGGAGGTACTTGGAGCCCGGAGCTCTGACTCTAGGGTGTTTATATGTACACATGTGTATGTATATATATATATATAGTAGACTCTTTAGAAGAAGAAAACATAAGAAAAGCCCTCCAAACATGGATGAGTAAAAGCATCTTATGGATCTTATAGTAAGTATGGATATTATCATGATAAGTATGGTAGTTTTGAATCATTCGAGTCGACATTAAGTGTCTCTATATATATATATAGAGAGAGAGAGAGAGTAGTTCGTTCCTCTTAGTTCCAATTGGAAGGGAAAGAATTCCAGAGTCCCACACCTACAACCAAAGACATCCAACAAAATGCGCGCCTCGTCAGCTTGGTTGCTCCTGGCCAGTGCCCGGTCGGCGGCGCTGAGCTGCGTCCGGGGCAGCACTGAGTGGTCGTTGGGCAAGAAACAAATGCTGTAGTCCTTGGTGCAACGCTTTCATGCCCCTCGTGGAGGGTTGGGAGATGTCGGAAGAAGAGGTCCAAAAAGGTACGTTGCAAGATTGTTGAAGCTTTTGGAGCAAACACGCCCCCAAAAAAAAGACTTCTCCAAAAAAGAAGGCCTCCGGCCTCGGGTGACTGCATGGCCGGACGAACCTCCCCCAAACATTTCTTCTGGTCATCGCCCGAAAAACTACCCACCCCCCAAACCGAAACGCTTACACCCCGGTGACACCCCAAAGCAGCACGGTCCCCGCTCCAAACCAAAAAAAAACAAAAGAAATGGTGGAAGAAACCACACCCAAACCCGACCGACCTTAAAACCGCCACCAACCCAGCGACCCAAGCTCCCCACGGAGCGTGCGACTCCCCGTCCCACCAGGCCTCAGCACCAGCTTCCTCTCCCAGCCAAGCGTTGGGGCACAGGATCGCCAGCGCCGCCGTGGGCGGCGAAGTGGGCTCCATGGTGGGGTGCGGCCAGTGGGTGGCTCCAGAGCGGGCCAGGCGGGCGGATTGATGTGGAGGGTGCGTGGGGTGGGGTGCATGTGATGTGTGGGGCACCTGCTTCGTGCATTGTGTTGCCTTCCTTCATGGCGCAGAACTACGACCTGTTTTCACCGAGACCTACACAGACCGGGTGGCCGAGTTTGAGGAAAAAATCTCAGGTCTGCAACACGGGGGCTTCACTCATTTAAGTGTGCAACTCTGGGGGATGTGAATCTGAATGGCACAGTAAAAACGAGTGGGATAATCATTCACTGTTTGGGTATTGAGTGCTTCCATCTTGCTAGGCACATCGTAAATGGACATTCTTGCTCGAAACCCCCGTGTTTCAAAATCTCGCTTGACAGCCAACTGACAATTGTGCGTCTCATTGATTCAAGGAGCGTTGGTCTTTCCCCTTTGCCGTTTCCACTGTTGGTCTTGTGCTTGCTCTTGTTCGAAGCTTCTCCAACAAGCAGCACCTCGCGGCTCTTTCCTGTGGCGCCCTTTTTGCGCATCCAACTGCATATCACCCACTTGTGTAACTTGTGTAATGCAAAATGATTGCAAGTCAACGAAATTCCATCCCAGCTCTTCCCGCCGCTTGAGAGCATTTCATGTTCGCCCCAAGGCATCAAGTTGGTGCAACGGTGGCATTTTGCACACGGGATGCCGGTTGTAAGTTGTACCCCATGCTGGACACTGCGCATGAGTCCTTGGGATGATCGGATTAGATCGGATGAGTCATTCCAGGTCCAGGATCTTGAAACCACAAATGTTTGAAATCACGACCTGAGTCATTGGTATGATCGATGATATTCATCCCAGGCCTAAGAATGCACATCAAAGAATGTTTAACGCCAATGACCCATGAGCACTTGCACACCACGGAGAAGCTTTAATCCAACACACGGAGGTTCAAGCAGAAGAAAGGTCATAAGGGTGTGGAAAGGAACTCATATCAATATATGACCCCCAAAGAAAATTCACGCAAATTCCATACAAATTGCTTCATCTTGATCAAACATGACATGAACTTTTAGATTTATACATAAATTATCAACCCGATGCTACATTGCTGGGTATGTTGAGACACCTCCATTTAGATGAACTTTGCTGACATGAAATGGATCGCACAAGTATTACTAGTTCAGAATCAAGGGGGTGTGATTTAGGACAAGCCGATTTGGTCACCGACCTCTTGTGTTCCAAAATGGAAGACTTTGAAAAAGAGGGCATCTTTTCAAGGTCTACATGTCTTTGGAGGCAACGCGCCCGCCTGCCGTTCTCAGCGCGCGCATCGAGAAACCGCTGAGGACGGCGAGAATCCCATCCACCGGCCGCGGCAGGGGGGGGAACAGCGGACCTGCTTCACCGGCTTCGCGGCGTTCACCGCGGGCGTGCCCGGGCCGATGAGGCCTGGCGTGCGTGGCGTGTGAGCGGCGTGGAGGAACGAGGAAGACTCTGGTGCCAGACTCTGGTGCGACTTAGGTGCTTGGAGGAGGTCTTGAAGCTGGAGGTCCGTGACAATCCATCTACCCAAGACGTGACCAATACCCTATGATAGGGCAGCAAAAACACGAAAAGCACAAGAAGAATCAAAAAAAAACACAAAAAATGAACGATGCGTGACCTGCCATCACCGGGTTTCCTTCCACGCTCGTCCTGTCCAAAACTCCTCTCAACCCCATGGAATTCCCCACGCGACCGCGACCGCTCCTGACCAGCCGCACTCGTCCGCCGGGCCTATGAGGCATCCCACGCGCGGGATGTGAGGCCCTAAGGTGTAGAGTGACTCCCGGAGAGCTGGGATGTCCTGGCCGGGCAACCCTGGCGGGGCGCTGCGACGACATGGGTAGAGGTGGAGTGGCCCGGAAGACCATGGCTAGGGGGTGTTGGTTAATCCGGGCGGGTGATCCAGTTTCTCGACCACGTCAGACGCGTCCAAAAAAGGGAACAAGAAAACACACACACCAGGAGTGCCACGTCGCTGTGTTCCTGGAGGGTGTACTAGGATCATCCTGTCTGGGTGTCCTGGCTAGACTACCCTCCCTATACTTATAGGTCTCCAGACAGGGCACCATTGGAAGTGCTAGGTATGAACATGTGTAAATGGGGGTTGTTCAAAAGTCCTTTCATTTTTTTCCAGGCCTTTCGCAGGACCTTCGCGAAGCTTTCGCAAGCTTTCGCGCGTGGGGTTTTACCACTGTCGGCGAAAATGGTTTTTCGTTGGGGCTAGAGGCTTTCAAGGATTGCTGCAGTTGCCCTGGCACGTCTTGTGTCCTCTGATCACTGACACATTGATTGCTGAGGAACAGGAAGCCAGCCAACCAAGCAGTTTTCATGTTGGTGTGTTTTTGGTTGGGCACAACCCTCCATGAACAAGAGACGGCTCAGTCAGGCCAGTTTGCTCAGACTTCCAATTTGCTTTTTCCCGGGCCGGGAAAAAGCAAAATGGTTCAGACTTCGAATTTGCTTTTTCTGGGGCCGGGAAAAAGCAAAATGGTTCAGACTTCCAATTTGCTTTTTCCC